TCTCTCTCTCTCTCTCTCTCTCTCTCTCTCTCTCTCTCTCTTCTTCCTTTCCTTTCCTTTCCTTTCCTTTCCTTTCCTCTCCTCTCCTCTCCTCTCCTCTCCTCTCCTCTCCTCTCCTCTCCTTTCCTTTCCTTTCCTTTCCTTTCCTTTCCTTTCCTGTCCCTCCCTCTACTCTGCTCAGCTGTCACTGACTCACACTAAACTTGACACAAAAACACAAAAGGGTCTACAAGAACCAAGTGGTCAAAAGAAGAGGTGAGGAATAATCTAGAGATAAGAGTTTTGACTTGCTGCCTATCTGGAGAATAGAGAATGGCCATTGTGTCCGAGTGATGCTATGCCCTGACAAGAAATTCCAGCATTGTCATCTTCTCTCTGAAGGTGAAAACTGGATAGAACAACTTTATTCTGAGACCCTCTGCTTGGATGGGAGAGTACATCCTCAAGCTGGTCTAATAAATAGTAGAAAGACCAACTTCATGCTTACTCTGTCTACAATAAAATAAAACTGATCTAAATGCTATCACCTAAAATCTGTCTGTGGAAGGAAAAACTGATCAATGTACCTTCCCCTAAAATCAAGAGCAAAAGAGACTGAAGAAATAACACTTACTTGTTACACCTAATATTGAAATAGTCTTAATCCAGCATCTTTCCAGAGGCTGATTGTGTGAAGCAGCTCATCTATAATTTCTGAAACTGACTTCCAGTGTGAAATAATTATTTCCCATTTAGAAGTAGCTGCTCTCCCCTTTTAATTAAAACAACTGCATAAATCTGAAATGTATGCACTTCTTCTTTAAAGAAGGTTCATGACTGCAGTTCCTCACTGTAGCACATGGATACATAATGACTTCTAATCCCAATCTTAATTTCAGTTAGTTCTCTATAGAAAACAGGATGCAAGAATCATAATTTAACTGCCCATTGTGGAACCGTGTTTCATGTTAATAAAACACAATATGCTATATAATGGCAAATTTAATTCTGCATATATAACAAATCACAATTTAGAGTAAATCTCCTAAACAAGCAAGTTATAGGGAAAAACCCCAAATTAGGAACCCTCATCTATTTACAAGTTGTTATTATGTTTAATATCATAATTAGATGGAGGAATAAAGTGACAGAGCTTTGCATTATTCTTGCTAAGATGCCCCCAGCCAAGAAATTTCCAAAAGGCAGCTTTGACATCTTTGTTCCTCATGCTGTAGATTATTGGATTTATCAGTGAAGGGACCACAGTATATAGCACAGTAAATGATTCCTCCAATTTGGGTGGAAAGGTTGGCATCAGGTAAGCTAAGTGAGCCAAGAGGCTATTACCAACAAATAGGGAAACAACAACGAGGTGAGGGATGCATGTTGCAAAGGCCTTTTCCCTTCTCTCAGCTGAGGACATTCTCAGCACAGTGCTAAAGATCCGCACATAGGTTGAGATAATGAATGAGAGGCAGCCAACTCCTAAGCATGAACCAAAGACAAGAACCCAAGTTTCACTAATATAAGAATCAGGACAATAGAGCTTGATTAATTGTGGAAGTTCACAGAAGAACTGATTGATGATGTTGGAGCAGAAAGGCATTGAAAAAATATTCCCTGTATGTAGAGCTGCATGCAGAAATCCAACCATCCATGCTCCTCCAGCCATTTGGAGGCAAGTGGACCACTTCATTATGGATGCAAAGTGCAATGGGTGACAGATGG